AAAACAAACATATATATTGATTTACACGGGACTGTATTGAATAAAGAGAATAACATATTCATAGCATTCACTTTAAGATTATTCTACAATAATTGACAATAAATAAAAACAAGTTTTAAATTTTCTGATCAGCAAACCAGAAGTATTTTTTTCAAAGGGGCCGACCGGGGCTTTACATAGCATAAAATAAATGTACTTAACTTTCACAGCAATTATTATCTTTTTTTTTACACTTGTATTTATATCTAAGAAAAGAAATCAGAATGAAAAGATTATTTAAGGAATGAATTTAATAGCTACCCAAGTTATACTCGTATAACCTGGGTTGGGGCAGTTTACGCTTTATAAACCGCGAAGCTATTAAATTCATTCCTTATAATTTAATTTTCCATCATTAAGTGTAAAAAATAAGACAATTTCTCCTTCGAAAATGCCTTCAAATTGTACGTACGTAATTTAAATTTATTTCAAGCGAATTGATACGTTTTGACCTAAGTCAATGTGACATAGGAAACCCAGGTTATACAATTTATTCTAATTTTTTATCCAATCAAATGATGCGTTACAGCCAAAATTAAATTATTTACGTTTAAAATAATGAATTTGTAAAGATTTTTCAATGGATAGGTAGATGGCTGTCGTTATTGTATGTTAGTGACGTTTGGAGAAACTAGATTTGTTTAAGAGGGGGTCATTAAGGAAGTCCAAGATATATATTTATTTTTGGTTATTTTCTGTATGAATTACAAGATTCTAATATATATGTAGCATTTCATAAAGACATGAAAATTTCTTAATTTAACAATTTGAGATGTCTTCCCTGGCAACAAGCTTTAAGAGGTTAAATTTGTTTTTCTCTTATATAATGCCTAATAGAGCATTATTTATCACGTACTGTAAAATCACAAACACGTATTTTGGTGGGATTAAATTTTCAAAGTTTGAGGAAAAAATATTGGTTTGTAGGGATTTGATTTCATGTTTGGAGAATCCCTAACAAAAAAAAAAAAACTATAGTTAACTATAGTTTACTATAGTTAACTATAGTGATAACTTTGACACTATGAAAACTTTGATTTACTTTTGTGAAAACTTTGACACTTTGATTTACTATGGTGATAACTTTGACACTTTGGTTTACTAAAGTAATAACTATAAAAACTTTGATTTACCATAGTGATCACTATGAAAACTTGATTAACTATGGTGAAAACTTTGATTTACTATAGTGATCACTTTGAAAACTTTGATTTAATATAGTGATAACTTTGACACTTTGATTTACTATAGTTATCTCTAGTTAACTACAGTATTTTTTATAGTATTTTTTGTTAGGATGATACCTCCGTGATCTGAAGGTCCTGTGTTCGAATCACGGCCACGACTGACCTAAGTCGATAAAAAAAAATAGGTAGCAACTGTACCTTCGCCAAGCGCTTGGCACTTTGAAATGAAAGTTGGGAGTGTTTCGGATAAGACCTTACAAACAGAGACCACGTGTCAAGGTAGTCGATGGGACGATAAAGTTCCCTCACTGCTCAATGACCCTGAGTGCCAAGTAGAGGTCTAAATTTAAAGCCCTTCACCGGACGGTATATGGTGACATTTATCATTTAATTTTGTAACAGCATAATCTTGAACTAGATGAATCATTTGGTTTTCTTTGGTTTTTATGGATATCGTGGTAAAAAAAAATAATTAAATTGTAGATAACATTCACATTTACTCACAGTACATAAAATCACAAGCGAACGCGAAGTTAATTTACTCTTGCAAAAAGGAGCAAAGTTGTCAACAAATAAATATACTCTTGGGTAAATTTTCGTTGTATAAACACAGCGTTAGAAAATATTCCGGTTTAAAAAAGAATATATAAGCAATCTCTCCTTATTTTGAGTATATGTATCAGTGATACTTGTGAGAGTTCAAACCTTCCTGTTTTGATAACCAGTAAGTGTGGGTTTTTTTATGTTATTATTATTAATTATATTTGTATTTTTAATCAGAAAAATTATCATGAATAGAACACAAGAGATATTTCTAAACGATCCAACAAGAAAGCATTAATTAATAATAAATCTTGCTATTTACCTTTTGTTTGCATATACAGTTTTTGTTTTGTGCAAACATTTTTATTTTTTAACTCTTTGTTCTCGAATTACAAACGTTTTGTGACTGATGAGCATTCTTTTTTGAAAATAATAAACAGATTCCTTTAATGTTTCGAACACATTCTGCATTAATAGTCTTCATGAAATACTTTCTTTGAAAGTGAGATCCATATTTTAACAAGTGTGTTAAATATTGATTTTAATTATTTAAGCATATTCAGTCGTTTAAAAAACTAAGAGAAAATTATGAAATTACACTTTTCTCCCACAAATTTTTAACTAAAAATCACATCATGTCAGACGTATGCTGCAGTTATATGTCAGAGTTTTTATATTTATATTTTTAATTAATTGATTGGTGCAAATCCATCAGAATTTCATTGGTAAAATATTTTTTTTCTAGATTGTCTGTATAAGTACTTCCTTTTTCCTGCTGTATTAGCAATACATCAAAGAAAATCATTGCAACTCATCAGGAAAACATTCTGAATACTAATTTGTAAATCTTTTGATAGAGAATGCTGAAAGTCGCATTTTTGCTATATTCTGTAGGGTTTGTAACAATGCTTAGAAGTGGTATTTCAACGTAAGTATGATTCTAACATTTTTTAAAAAGAATTCCAAACACGTACTGTTTATGCTTAACAAGAAAGAATTCAAAATCAAGGAACTGAAATGGATAAATTGGATCTTTTCTGGATAATTATGACAGGAATTATTTCTTCATTTGTTTAGGTTACTCAATTGTCCCATGGATAAAATGTGGGATGACACAAAAGGCACTTGCAAAGGTATCATAGTTATTATTAAAACAAAATATCCATTTTATTTTTGCCTTTACTTTAATAGCATTTACTCAGTATTGACTTATTGATGTTTTGATTATGTTACTTTCAACGTTCTAATAACAACTATTAAAGCAAAATCAAGAATTACAAAAAGGTTATAAATATGACGTTTGATATGAACGTAAATAAAGGGGGTCTAATTAAGTTATTTTGAATAAAATTTTAAGACTAACTATTTAATGACTTTTATCCAAAAATAATGGTTATTTACATATTTTTGTCAAAAATGGTTTCCACCAATTTTTCTCAAGACTTTTTCTTTGAAGCGACTACCATTATTTTAAGCGTAACCATAACTAGCTTTATTGAAGAACTTCAGATTTATTATTGTTTAGTTGATATAAAGTTCTTTTAAAATAAAATACTCACAAAAACATTACCTAATGTTAAAATGGGATTCAAATAGGTTCAGTAGAGAGTGTAGGGATCGTAGAATGAAGAGTTAATAGTTAATCGCCGAATATCTTTAGTTTATTACAGATAGAGACCTAGTCTTTGTACGATAACGCAAAGGAATATGCATGAATTCAAATGTTGGTGTGAATCTGATGAAATACAAAAAAAATGTTGCTTTGATATTTGAAAAGAAGTTACTGTGGGCTTCAGTTCGACATTTAGATATTTTGACTAAGTTTTATCAATAATCATTTTCATTCCTACGTTGATTCGATATATCCATCCGGACTCGAAATAAAAGACACCACAGTCTGACACGTCTGATTCATATTTGGATATTTTACTAGAGAAAGACATTAATGGCAAACTAAAAACAAAATTTTATGAAAAACGTGATAACTTTTCTGTCGTCAACTTCCCTTATTTATGTAGAAAAATACCATTATCATCTGCATATTGAGTTTAAGTCCTCCAGCTGATTCGCGCATTTCTACTTATGAACAATATCTAAAACGAGGCAAGCTATTGACAAATAAGTTGATTCTTGTTTGTTGACCTTGCTTGCAAATAAAACCCATAGCTGGGTCAAAATTTGCATGAAATAGTCCAGACGTATTGTAAGAACATTCTTTCTGTAAACGACCTCTGAAGTTTAGGCGCCAGCTGGCTCCTAATCAAAACAATTAGTCGCCAATGCACATTTTTCTAAGGCGCCAATTTTAAAAGCTGATATTAGTCAAAATACAGGCCTACTGGATTAGTTACGGGACGGGAGAGTGTCTATAGCAATCGTAAAGAAAGAATTCAATAAGAAATATAATCCAGATAATGGTCAAATGGTTAAATTTAAACATGCATGTAAAGCTCTGTCGCTCAAGCCACTGTCCGGGGTTCACATATAGCTCTCTACTACCGGCCAGAATGGGAGAGACATTTTGGTCATGGAATCATATCCAAAAAAGTTTTGTTCGATAATTATTTTTTTAAGAGACTTGGTTCTCATGAAATATTTATTAAAACTATTATATCAAAGATTGTTTACACGAATTACATTTTGTGTTCGTTTGTACAATTTCGACTCGCACAATTGTCGATTTTTTGAAGCCAACAGTTATCGAACTGCCATGTCTTACATGGTTTTCCTGAGCTTTGTGTACACTGACGTCACGTGTGTGACGTCAGTCACATTTAAAATGTTATAATACCGGAATTTGACCATCGCCTGATCAATTTCTAATGGTCGCCAATTTGGCGACTAATGGAGAAATTTTAGGCGTCAATCAAAAATGTTAGGCACCATGGCGACTAAATTAGTCGCCAATTAGAGCCCTGACTGTATTAATGTTGACTATGGAGTACTCTGTATACCTGATTAATAAATATGTCTAAAGGAGGGTGTGACCGGTCGATAAGGATGCTTTCTCCTCAATGGCAGCTGGTCACACCTATGATGTTTCCGGGGATCCGAGTCTTTGCGCTGTTGCACATTGTTTGCTGTATTTATGAGATCACAGTTCCTTACATTTACATTTAGCCTAAAATAAGCTAATCACTTCAATCTATTTCCATTACTTTGTTTCTCTTCTGTAAATCACTTAGATGAATATAAACATGTAATAGTTATGATTAATAATGATATCCTTATAATTATTTAATTCTAGATTGTAACCTTGGATTTTCCGGAATAAACTGTTCACAGAAATGCGGTTATCCAAGCTATGGTTTGAAATGTCAAGGTTTTTGCAAATGTCAAAAACGTATTTGCAATAGTGTCAATGGATGTAGCTTTCACAAAATCACAACTTACTCTGCAGACGGGGGAAAAACATGTAAGTCCCATTATTTTTAAGTTTATTTTTTAATCTATTGTATTTTTATGATACAAAATTGATTTCATTCTTAACTATATTAAAGCATGCCATCCTGGATATTTTGGAATAAACTGTTCATGGCCATGCAGATACTCTAATTATGGTGATGACTGTCAAAGTATTTGTAATTGTGAGAAAAGCTTGTGCAATATTACGTATGGATGCATATCTGTCGAAGGAGAGTCCATGGAACGAAGTATGTATTATCAAACACAACAGCTGTTTACAATTGTTAGATAATTATAGTTTATTGGCTGAATATCAAGAAATATTCCAGCCTGGGGTCTTTTTTTGCGGTAAAGCGAGCGAGTGAGGTCAGCATCTGCTCAAAGATAGTCAGTCACCTTTTCATTACATATGTTAATAGTACCAATACATTTTTTCATATAAATGGAATCGCTCCAAATTTTTCGTCAAAGACAATCAGTAACTGCTAGTTCAACGAATATTTGTGACGTCAAATATACATGAATGTGATGTTATTAAGACGGGAAAAAATAATGTAACGTCACAAATACAAAAGTAGTCCCCGGGCTTTTACAGTGCTTGATGATATCGTTCTGTAAATGTCCCGGCACTCTCGATAATTTCTATTGAGAAATATATTAAAATATGTAATGATTGAATATCCCTTTTGCAGGTGTATTGTATATATAGATGCAATCCATGCACAAAACTTTGCATGAAAAATCGATGAGGACTGAAGAACATAAGGCTGCACTTCGTTTTACATACATATAAGGAATTAATGCATTTCTACCTGGTAAAAGAAAAAGATACAGTGTTTCCCCGGTATAATTCTCCCTGTATGCCATCCTCACTTAATACCGCCAAAAAAGGTCCAAAATCCTGATTTCCTCGCTATACAAACCCCGATTTAAGGCCATCCGTCATAGTATTTTGAGTACACATTTGTCTATTACCATTATCCCCTAACCAAAAAAATACTATAGTTAACTATAGTTTACTAAACTATAGTTAACTATAGTGATAACATTGACACTTTAATTTACTATAGTGATAACTTTGAAACTTTGATTTACTATACTGATAACTTTGACACTTTGATTTACTATAGTGATAACTTTGAAAACTTTGATTTACTATAGTGATAACTTTGATACTTTGATTTACTATAGTGATAACTTTGAAAACTTTGATTTACTATAATGATAACTATGACACCATAGTGAACACTTTGAAAACTTTGATTTACTATAGTGATCACCATGACACTATAGTGATCACTTTGACACCTTGATTTACTATAGTTAACTATAGTTAACTATAGTAAACTATAGTAAACTATAGTTAACTATAGTATTTTTATTAGGGTTATCAGCTCCGATAATTACCGTCAATAAGAATGCATTTTTTTTTTCAAAATCGGATCGGAAGGTCTGCGTAATATAATGAAATAAAATGACAGTCATTTACGTCAGAATCTATATTTACATCCCGCTGAATAATAATTATTCAACATGTTCAAAACTCATTTATATTTATCATTAAAAATCATTGATCATCACATCGTTTAGTTGACTTCATTACTCTACAATCTAGCATTAAGTCTGCTGTAATTAAGCAAGCATGAAAGAAAATTTATAGAAGATGCTTAAGTAAACAGTAAAACTGAAATGACGTGAAGAGTAAGCTACACAATTAAGAATCAATTTCACTTGTTACATTTACAATGCGGCATCTAATCCCTATCGGTTGTCTCCGGGTGTAAAATTCACAAGAAAATCAAGCCATAGATTGTGTTTACAAGCAGTAATTAAAGTTTTTACGTTTTAGGTGTAAAAAAAAAAACTAGATATTATTCGTGCATGACTATATTTTGGTCACTTTAATAAGAGTTGAATAAGGGAGATCCAAAGTCAAAGTGTGCTTTATTGGGACGTCAGACATGGACTTAGAATTGTGATTCGACATTCAGAATCTAAGGACTTTGCATCAGAAAATAGCAGGCGTTTTGTTTTCATCAAACAATGAAATAAAACAATCAACAATAGATAAAAATTATATATATATAAATATATAAATAATATACCAGGAATTAAAAATTTTATAACAATGAGTGCCAATTTCTTCTGCTTTCAAGACCAATTGCATTTCCACTTTATAATGCCATATAATTTTTAAATTGCGGAGGTACAAATGCTGGCGGTAAACGGGGGAATACTGTATATATTTTAAGACAACAATTAAGTGATTATATTATATTTTTTATCTTCATAACAGGTACATTAAATGCAGATCATGGAATGCCAAGGACAGATTTCCCCATAAACATTACAATAGTGTCTGGTGGTTTCTTGCTTGTAATAATGTCAATAATAGTAGCCGCTCTTATTAGTACAAAACATATTTCCAACAGAATACAAAGGTTCGATAATTATATCTACTCTACAAGGGTACATCATGTTACAAACAGAAGCTTTGATACTTCAGGGAACTTTGTGGAGAATGAAGGCTTACGGCGTCCAGTTTCTGCACGTAATCATCTGTATTATGATTTGACTTGATATTAGCACTGCATTTGTAAAAGGCTTCGTCTATATCTAATTAGGTGAGATAATTTATAGCATGACATTTTTAACGTTAAAAATCCACTGCTTTTTTGTAATAAGCTTATTTGTGACTTATAAGGAACGTAACTTGCAAATAGTATAGCTCTTCAACGTTCACATGGGTAATCAAAATTTTTGTTATGCCGTTTAGGTTTTGTTAATTTTTATGTAATTTTGTGATTTAATTATATAGTTATCAGTCTGGTCAGTTGGCAACAGTCCGTAAAACTTAACATTATGCAACTCACAGATATTTGATGTCATATTTTTTTAAAGTGATTTAGCCTGTCATTTTGTAAAAAGAAAAAAAGAAGTTTTTTTTTTTACACGATATGGCTTGATTTATGAAGCCATGTGTGATTTTTTTTTTTTTTTTTTTTCGAAAATAAATAAAATTCAGACATGTTCAGAAACAACGTTTGCTCCACATACTGATGGATGCTATATAAAAGGGTCGGACATCTAAGCTGATTTCATTTGAATTTGGATAATGTGTGTGTAGGGGTGTGTGTGTGTGTGTGTGTGTTAAAGTCTGTTCATTTTGAGCGGTTGGGTTGGGTCAGGTGGGGATGAGGGCGTTTTTAACATGTGAGTTTGTTATGATATAAATAAACATTATATACTTGCTGAAGAAAAATAAAGAATTTAACAATGAAGTTGTCCAGAACGTATTTGTCTTAATGCTCTTAGTCCTTTTCTACCAGAAACATAGAAACAAATCAGATAGGCGTCAAGGTGAAAAAAAGATGATATAGTGTGTTTTAATTAACACATATTTTTTTTTTTTTTGGGGGGGGGGGGTTAAGGAGGAACTATATAGACTGTAGATTCCTAACTATACGCGAGGAATTAATTATCGCGTGATTGCGCGAGAAGTACTACTCGCGAAAAAAATTACTCGCTTTAATTTTTGTGGTACTGAAATCCATATAAAATATCTTAATAAAGCGTCCACTCGCGAATTATACTTCTTGCGATTTGGCGTCTAAGGGGCATTTCGCGAAATTCAGTACTCGCGTAAAATAAGGAATCTACAGGAATCCTAACTATTTCTATATTCAACTTCAAAACAGAAGGAAGAAACATCATGCAATTAACAGAATTTAATAATGTAAAGCTGTAAACGCATTACGTATCATTGCAAAAAGCCCCAAGAGAGATGGGTTTTTTCATTTTTATTAGATATAAGATAAAAAAAAAATCATTTCTTTAAAATTCGGTTTAATAAGGTAATATATTCTTGATGAGCGTTTTTTTCTTTTTTTTTTCTTTTTTTTTTTTTTTTCTTTTTTTTTTTTTTTTTTTGATATGGGTGAATTTAAAAAAAAAATGAGCAAACGCATAGTTATCAACCCACACTAAAAATACAGGCATTGAAAATAGATTTCTATGTCTCAGCATATGTCTTTAGTTAATGTCTAAATACTTTCCAAATATCTCGTTGATATCTCCAGTAACAAAAAAGTTATGCCCAAAAATGATGCTAAAATTGTCAGGAGTGCAACACCTTTTTGTGACATTTTGAAATTTCAATATTTTTTGGAGATCTGTGAAATAAATAATAATGCTTTATGTTGAAAATAAAGACTTTCCTGATAATATTCAAAGTATTGAGCTTTAAATGTGGACTGTCATAACTTTTGTTTAATCAAGTTGTGGTCATGGCTGATGTTTAAAAAATTGTTATACTATGTCAGGAGTGCAACAGAAAAAATGTAGTGTTGCCAAAAAAACATCAATTGCAAAATTCTGAAAGAAAATTAAGACAAAAAAGAATTTTTGAAGTGTAAAACAATAACTGATATACATTTTAAAACTTAAAAATTTTATATAAATCACAATCAGCATTAATGAGAGTCAAGTATATATGCATACCCAATAATGTCAGGAGTGCAACCTTTGATGTTTTGCTCCCAAGCATGAAAAGACTATTATCATTATATGATTTTCTGATTTTTATTTTGGAAAACAAAGACAAAAAGAACATTTTTACCAACTAGATTTATCAATGACAGGATCTGGCTGTGCTTCAGATCTATATTTCTATGGTCAGGAGTGCAACAGATTTTCTAAAGATTCAAGTTGTGACGAAAACACCTCTATTCATGCTTAGAAGTACCCATTAATTAATAATGATCATTTTGTATAATTTAATAATAAATTATTGACAGGTTTTTTTTTAATTAAAATCCTTCCTTTTTCAATTTTATCAATTCAGATGTGTTTTTATCTTTTTTGTGATTTTTTTTAATGAACGTTTAAAATAAACACACTAAAAATTGTCATAAAATTCAAGTAATTCCTCCTCAACTTCACTGAAACAACAGAACAAGTTCTTATGTAATTTTCACTTCACAATTTTACTTTAAAGACCCCAATGCTTTTGGTCAGGAGTGCAACAAATATGTTAGAATTATAAATCATCCAATAAGAATAAAAATAAAGAAAAAATGATGAGTAGAATTTTTCTGGTTGGTTACTGTGTTTGTCCTCTAAAGGAAAATATGCTATAAAATATATTTTATCTTCTAAATATACATTTAAGATAGTTTTTGGGCATAAATAGGGAATAAAATGCGAATTTTAAATACTTTCATCTGTTTTAATCATGAAGTATTGGGCTATAAATATTGCACAATTTCATTACCACTTGATGTTGCCAACACTTTATGAATTTTTGTGTTGTATGGTTTCAATTTTAAATTTTACTGCAGTCAGGAGTGCAACAAAGCTGCTTTATAATTACCAATGCTTTTTAACTATCTTTACTAAAAAATAAGTTGAAAAAAAATGTTCAATATTATTTGATGTTCAAAACACTATGCCTATCAACAAATTACAGAAATTTTACAGTCAATTCAGGGAACAGTTTTTCATCATTTCTCATATATTTTTAAATACACTTTATATATATTGCACTTTGCAAATAATCATGTTTTAAGGTCTTTAAAATATGAAAAACCTGCCGTAAATGATGAAAAATATCAAAACGACAAATTGATTTCCAAAGTAAGAATGGGTTATTGTGTGTTATAATTTTTGAAACATTGTTAAATAAAATACATATCAGATGTCAGGAGTGCAACCAAATAATGTAACATAGGGTCACTTCTAAATCTAGAATTTTTTGTAAGAGAACTCAATATAAAAATTCTTTTTGGGCTTAGATTTAAAGAATTGACTTGAACGGACAAAAAAGTAAATTTTGGGGAATTTTATTGCTTCGTGTTTTTTTTATATTAATACTTTTCAAACCAGAATTGAAAAAAATAATGTAAAATAACAATCAAAAAGCCAATTTTTTGTCACATATACAAGAGAAGATACTCAGTCAAGATCTAGAATTAATCATCTATACCCCTTTTACAATTTTGAAGCATAAAAAACTTTAATTTCTTGTGATTATGTTTTTTAGAAAGTCTTTTAAGGTGTAATGGTATTTTCTTTTTTCAAAAGAAATTTTACTAATAAAAATTTTGAAACTTTTTTATCCAATTGTTCATTCTAATGCCACTTCAGGATTTTAAACTAGAATGCATGTGCAATATGATGATATAAATGAAAATTAAGTTATAAGTAGTTGAATTTTTCCAAACAATTTCAGTTTGGTGGTCATTTTTTTTTTAATTCACCCATATACAAGAACACAATTCATTTATATGTACGCATTTTATCATGTCAGAATCTCTACTTCAACCCTACCGGTAATCTTAGTTTGAACATAACTTTAAAATGTTTATGACTTGAATATATATATAACACCCCTATTTAAATGGGTTGAAACGTCTCTGTGTGAGTGAAAAACTCTCGAATGGGACGTAAAACAATATAGAATCAATCAATTAATTAATTGTTTTTTAAATTCATTGTAAAAAGGATTCATATACTGTCTCTCTCTAAATATATATATTTCAAAATTTCTGAATATATTAGCACTACCAGCAAAGTTACATTTATTTCTTTGAAATATGTATACAACGCATTCCAAAATCAAAACAGAAAATCTTTTTTTCTGTTTTAGGCATTTTGCCCTTAGGTATTGACAAAATCCAACAGAAAACACAGTTTTATAAGATATTTATTGATAAGATTATGAAAAATCAGCATTTTTCTAATGGAAACACGATCTAGTGTCACAAATAAACTGAAATGTATATTTGGAGGAAATATTAACAATTTAGCAAGACTTTACGGGGTAAATTTCCCCCCAAAGAAAATCACTGATTCACAGCTTAAAGATAGCAAAAACCTACAGGGTAAATTTCCTCTCAAAAATGACATTGATACAGTTAACGTACAGTAATTCAAAGCAAAAGCAACCATTTGTTAGATAGCAAGACTGTACGGGGTAAATTTCCCCCCAAGAAGGTATCACTGATGCAGTATTCACTACTCTTTAAAAAAAGGGAACATTACACTTTGAAAATCACAGAACTCTACAGGGTAAATTTCCTCTCAAAAATGACATTGATGCACTTTATATACAGTTTTTTAAAGCAAAAGCAAGACTTAACGGGGTAAATTTCCCCCCAAAGAAAATCAATAATACAGTATTTATGATTCGCTAACATCGTTAAGATGGCAACAATCTACAAAGTACTTTTTCTCTCAAAAATTATATTGATACATTTTATACACAGTATTTCAAAGCAAAAACACCAATCTTGTAGATAGCAAGATTTTACGGGGTAAATTTCCCCCCAAAGAATATCAATGATACAGTATTCACTCTCTTATGAAAGCGAACATTACACTTTGAAAATCGCAGAACTCTACAGGGTAAATTTCCTCTCAAAAATGACCTTGATTCAGTTTAAATACAGTGTTTGAAAGCAAAGGCAACCATCTTCATGATAGCAAGACGTACGGGGTAAATTTCCCCTCAAAGAAAATCACTAATACAGTATTTCTGATTCGCAAACATCATGAAGATGGCAACAATCTACAGGGTAATTTTTCTCTCAAAAATGACATTGATGAAGTTTATACACGGTATTTCAAAACAAAAATCGCAAACATTGTGAGGATGGCAACAATCTACAGGGTAAATTTTCTCTCAAAAATGACATTGATGCAGTTTATACACGGTATTCAAAACAAAAATATCCATCTTTTAGATAGCAAGACTTTACGGGGTAAATTTCCCCTCAAAAAAATATCACTGATACAGAATATATGCTTCACAATATCTTGGCAGTAACGAAAATCTACAGGGTAAATTTCCTCTCAAAAATATTATTGATACAGTTTATCTTATACATAGAAAACGCGAACATAACACTTCGAAAATTGCAGAACTCTACAGGGTAAATTTCTTCTCAAAGATGATATTGATACAGTTTATATACAGTAATTAAAAGCAAAAACACTATCTTTTAGATAGCGAGACTTTATGGGGTAAATTTTCCCCCCCAAAAAATAACTGATATAGATTTTTTGATTCACAGCATCTTAGATGTAGCAAAAATCTACAGGGTAAACTGCCTCTCAAAAATTACATCGATACAGTTTCCATATATTAATTCAAAGCAAAAACACCAATCTTTTAGAAAGTAAAACTTTACAGGATAAATTTCCCCCCCAAAGATGGTATCACTAATACAGTATTCAATACTCTTATAAAAGCGAATATTACACTTTGAAAATCGCAGAACTC